TTCCGCATTTGATCTTGTTCCATGGCTTTTTGCCCCTTACCCGTTGACCTGTTAACCAAAGCTGACCAAATGCAGAGTACTTTATAATAGGTGTTTTTTTTTAAATTACGATAAAAAAAGAAAAACACATTAAACAGAAAACAACAGCTGCAGGTTGATTCTGATTGTGACTTCCACTGCAGGGATATGAAAGGCTGACTAGCAAAAAAAACCCTAACATTATGAATTAACACACAACTGCATGTATGTTTTTATGTTCAAACTTCGGCCATTTTGACGTAATAAAAGCACTTCAAAGACACAAATTATTTTGTTCTATGTGTAGATGAAGTGACAGCAGTGATGGCATACCATTAAATACATTATAACAGAAATGTGAATATCACTGGAATGTTGTACAGGTTACATTGGTTTTCAAACCACGCACTTTACAGCACATCCTGTGAAATGGTTGAGTTCCGACATGAAAGGTGCTGTATAAAATGCAAGAATTATTTGTATCAACAAAACAATTTATTGTTATTTATTCCTAGAATATATTATCGAAAGTATTAGCAGTCCCATTATAGTCCAAAATGAAAGGGTCTTCCTCAGGTCTGTAGTATTGACTGTGCCCAATGATAAAAAGAACAACTTGCATTCATATAGCGCCCTTCACATGATGGCATTTCAGAGCGCTGAAAGTGGCATAGTTTGACGCTTTGTTGGGGAGAAAGGGAAGATGACTGCAAGTGTCAGGAAGGGTAGAGGCAGGACGTTCCAGAGGGTCAAGGCCCACAAATAGTCAAATAGATATTAACATTCCCCAATAGGCCTCCAATTAAAGGCACTATACCAAATGTATTACTATTATTGTAAGACCATGAGAAATTTTGGACCTTGGGTTGGATATAAGTTTAACACTAGTATATCTGCAAGTTGGACTGAATCAGTGTCTGAAGTGAATTGCTACTGGAACCATCCAGTCCTTGTCAGCAGCAAGGTTAAAAATTCCTTTGTGAATTCCTGTAGTGGACACTTTATTGGATCCTTGTGCTGCTATAAATTTCTTTCTGTGAATCTCATTGTAATTAGTAGATAGGTGTCCTGAATAACCAGAATTCAATTTAAACTAAGCTGCTTTATTTCACTTGTCAAGAAGATATAGTACATGAAACTCATTTTCTGTTTATCTGGTCTTTCTAAACTCCCTTTATTGCAAAACGATTGATTTTTTTTTTAAATTCCATTTTTTACTGTCATTGAGTTTGTTCGTAAATCACACTTTTTTGTAAGATTTAATTTGGAGAATGAAGTCTTCCATTTCAAGGAAGATAATAATAATAATAATCCTTGCATTTGATATAGCTCCTTATCACGTCTTTGAGACGTCTCAAAGTGCTTCACAGAATATACTGTAAAGAAATTGATTGTATATTTTGTGGGCGAAACGCGGCAGCCAATTGCGCACAGGAGTATTCTAAGGGCAAGCACAGGCCTTGGCTAGTGCTGCTTTAACACCACAAATGTAGTGAATGCATGGTTCAATAAGAAAATTGTAGGTCATGTTTCATCAGAATTTGGGGCTTATTGTAGAATTAACTCATTTTAGCCTTTCATGTCTGGAGGACACTGCAAAGACCTTCACAGGATTTCCCGTAAAGTGTAGACTGTTTACTTTGTAGGCAAACAGTACAAACAGCTTGTGCAAAATCACGTTGTCAGTGCAAAAAGAGCACCTACCTCATGCCCTCTAATGAAGCGTCACGCTCCAATCATTAATGCGTCGTTCTCTTTCATGTATTGATTGATCTGCTGTGTATTTCCAGTACATTTCATTTCACATTTCCAGGAGTCAAAGTTTCTCTTTTTTATTGCTACCTTTCAACCAGCTACTTGGAGGTGCTTGTGGCTCCTGTTGGTGTCTTTTTAACTACCTGTGTAGAAGTTCCTTATCCATTCTCAACAACTCCTCTGGCAGTGGGCTGCATGCTGCATGCATAGGCTCGCCTTATGTACAGCATGCTAGTAGGACAGTGTAATGTTACGATGATCTTATTGGTTTGCTGGGATCCGTTTAGGCCAACGATCATAAAAGTGTTTGTTTGTGGCTAGTGAGAGCAAGCATTTTGCTCCTCTTCCATAGATCAACCCTTAGAAGAAAATGTTAAGCAAAAAAAAATACTGTAGAAACTGCTCTCGTCTGGAAGAGGAATGTACTTACATTTGCTCTGCCAACCTTTGGTCATTTTTGCCAGCCTGCATTAACATAATGCAAGCTTAAAAAATTGCAAACCATTACTCTGTATGGTATAACTAAGATATGCGGAAGGGAATTCTTTATCACAGAATTAAATATATTGAAGTTGTACACTTGTACAGCATGTTTAACTGGTTCTCTAATTTATACACCAAGAAGTTCAGAGGGTGTAATGCATTAGTATTCCCATAGATGGTCGTCACATGTTGCGTGAGATTCTCTGCACAATGAATTTCCAATTTCAGTGTTCTATCAGGGGCTCATGGAAAGCAAAGAAGTTACTGCTGCCCATGGGAAGGAAGGGAAAATCAAACATTTTGCAGCTTTTGTCTACACAAAACAGTCACTGGACTCCGAGTAATTACCTGTGAAGAGCTTTGAGATATTTCAACACGAAAGGTGCTACAAAAATGCAAGTTCATTCCCTTCTAACTGCTAACCCAAGAGTCTGGGTGCAAATCACTTCCATGCATTCACAGACAAAGAATGATGTATAGCACAGGGAAATGGAGGCAGACAGAAAATAATGAAAAAACGTAGAGGGGGAATAAAAGGCATTATACAGTTTGACGTGGCTTCGCAAAGGAACTGCTCATTCTGACACAATTAATGCAACTGAACATAAGCAGTTATATCCTTAGCGAACCTGGGGCCCGCTACAACTTGGTGACTGCCTATCGTCAACTCCTTCTTCCCCACTCTGTTTCCTGTCGGTGTCTGACAACATAACATTTCTGTGAAGCACTCAGACACATTGTTCTATGAGGATGGCATTATGTAAATGCAAGATGTTGTTTTAGTTTGACTCTGTAGTCAATGAATTATGCATGGCTATTGGGTATGTTCCTCTTAATTTTCTCTGTGCATGTATAGAGGCAGTGCTGTTCCTGTGACACTTTGGCTTCCAATTCTGCCACCCATACTAGTATTGTAAGACATTAGCTGAACAATTCTGCCATAATTTATGGAGTCTGGAGATGAGGCTCTCAATAAGTAGGAAACAAAACCTAACTAACATTGGCCAATTAATCAGTGGATGTAAATAATAAAACTTATCAAATCGATTTCCCTCGCTGCAGACATTGAATATTCAATTAATTAAATTGAAACATGGTTGCCAAGTAACTGAATGTATTGCTCCTTTCAGCACAGGAAGGTGTGTGCTAATATTGAGAGAGTGCCCGTTCCCACACCTGCATCATAGCTCCTAATATTCCAGGAATGACATAAACCCGTTTTAATTCCATTATGACTTGAAAAATTGCAATCCTGCACGTTACGAGGAAATTGAAAGCTTCGGAAGGTTAATTGAAATCATTTAGTGTAGTATACTACACAACATTGATCCACTGGAACCCTTCATTTGAAATTATAATATTCTTCGCATTTAATGTAGCGCCTTTCACTTCGAGAGGATGTCTGAAAGCTACTCCTCCTCCTCCAGCTGCGACTCCAGGTCGACTGATGTTCTGTTGTCAGACATCAAAGCTTGAATGAGTGCAAACTTCCTGCAATTGATTGTCAACAGGACAGAAGCCATACTCCTTGGCTCCCATCAACACCTTCTCTCCTGCAGCTCTGACCTCCTTAACCTCCCCGGCCTGCTAAGACTTACCAAACCTGCACATAACCTTGGCATCAGATTCGATCCCCAGCTGTCCTTCTTACTCCACATCCGATCCCTAACCAGGACTGCTTTCCTTAACCTCTGTCACATTGCCCGCCTCCGATTAAATCTCACATCCAATACAGCCAAAATCCTCATCCATGCTTTGGTCACCTCCCGCTCCAATATTCCAATGTTCTCTCCACCAGTCTCCCGAGCTCCACTATCCTACGTGGAGTCCTGCAGCTCAGTGGTTAGAGCACTCGCTTTGCAAGTGAGAGACATGAGTTCAATTCCAGGCAGAGGGCGAAACCTTGGGCAAGTTTCCTTACTCCACACAGAGCCTAATAATAATCCCTCCAAAACCAAAAACAATAATAAATTGGTCATTTTCAATCTACGACTGTTTGTGGGACATTGCTGTGCGCAATTAGCTGCCGCGTTCGCCCACAAATATACAGTCAATTCACTTTACAGTGTGTTCTGTGAAGCGCTTTGGGACGTCCTCCCAACGTGAAAAGTGCTATATCAAATGCAAGGATTATTATTATTATCCACAAGATCCAACTAATTAAAAACTCGTGCACTCGCCCGCTCTAAACTCAGTACCCCCATCATGCCAATCCTTGCCAGGCTCCAGTGGCTCCATCACAGAACAGATCGATTTCAAGATTCTCTCATTCATCTACACATCCATTCATGCCCTGGCACCTCACTGCCTCTCCGACCTGCTTATTCCCCACTTATTCCCCTCTCTGACCTACCATCGGCAGCCATGCTTTCAGCAACTACACCCCAAAACTTTGGAACTCTCCCCTTTAATGCTTATGCCTTATCCCTCCTTCCTCTTTGACTATGCTTACAGTCACCTCCCCCTAACGCGAAGTCAGGCTCTGCCACTGTTAAGCACTCCGAGACGCTATCCTGCATGAAGGGTAAATGCAAGTTGTTATTTACTGTAAAGTGCAGTGACTGTGTATTTTGTAGGCAAGTGCTGCCAGAAGATGTGATTGAAGCAGAAAGCATCAGTATATTTAAGAGAAAACATAATGCATAAACGAGGGAGAAAGGAATAAAGGGTTATGAGAAATGTTAGGAGGAATGGAAGCATCTGCACGGCAAAACTAAATTGATGTTCCTTTTTTGTGGTTACAGGTTACTCGTTCCCACTGAATGACATACAGCCAATTCCGTCTCAGCGTTCCTTTCAGGGTTGCATGCAACTCCTTCATGTGGATGAGCAGCTGGTTGATCTGCACGCTGTCGAGCAGGGAAAAGTGGGCAGTTTTTCCAATGTTAACATTGACATGTGTGCGATCATAGACAGGTAAACGACAACACTTACATATGTTTTTAATATCTTTGTTCAGATTAGATGAACAACACGACACAGTTGATGTGGAGGTGGAGTAGGGGAGAGGCATTAATAATGCAGATATAAAAAGAAACACAGAAATATAAAATTAAATAGTGAACTTAAAGTAGCTGCAGACAAGCACCATAGATTTAAGATTGGACAGAAATTTGAAAGGTTCATTCGATTATAATTTGGAAGCTAGTTTTCAAAGATTACAAAAACTAGTTTCCATTAAGGTTGAATTTTAAAAAAATTCATCCACGACATTCAAATGTGATTTTGGAGCTTTTTTTTCTGCTCACGGTTCTTCATCGATCACTGGCAGGCTTGTGCAGCGCAGGGTTGTGAAAATCCTGTCACGAGCATTTACAACCGGGATTGTGGATGGAAGCAAAATAGATGTCAGCACCAGAGGCATTCAGAAAGACACTTCAGCTTGTTCTCTCCTGAGAAGCATAGATTTGCATAGAACCTTACAGCATGGAAACAGGCCATTTTCTGACAGAAACCTGGAAACATCCAACATTCAAATCTGATGTAAAGAATGATAACTCCAACAGTGACCTAAAAAGATTACATAAAATTCTATATACATATTATACATAATACGGAAACGAGTCATTCAGCCCAAATAGTCCATGCTGGTGTTTAAACTCTTTTTTGGTCAGTCAAGTGTCTGACACATGCTGAAACCCATAACCACACTAACCAGACTGAGACATGTATGCCACCTACGCACGGAAATTCCCGTGTCTGGAATGGAATTCACACTCTCTCCCCAGAGGGATACATTCTGCTTACTTAGAGTATTAGGAACACGTTGACAATAGCTTATGCCCGAGGTCCCCAGATGTGGGTTGGGGCACTCCATCTGAACCCTCACCCCTTAATCCCTTCTCCCATACCCTTCTCCTCTCCCTCATATATGAATCAAGTTTTCTCTGAAATATGTTGTTGCTTTCTGATTCCACCACAGTTTATGGCAGTGCGTTCCACATGGCTACCATGCATAAAGAAATTCCTTCTGAAGTTCCTCTTTGATATGCTACTGGCTATCTTATATTTATGGCCCCTTGGTTTGAACTCACTATTAAGTGGAAACAGCCTATTAATATCCATCTTGTCAGATACTTTTATAATCTTAAACCTCTAATCAGGTCCCCTCTCAATTGTCTCAATTGGTGAGAGAAAAGCTCCAACTTGTCCAATCTTTCTTGATAGCTCTATCCTCTCATTCCTGGTAACATTCAAGTAAAAAAAGAAATTGATATTAGAAATTTATTTAAATCTGTAATTCTTAGAAAATGTCACTAATGTTGTTGAAACATGGTGTGAGACCTCACCCTTTCCCCCCTAAATGTTGAAATCATGTTGTGAGACAAATATATGAAAATAAGAGACTTCTTGTAACCTTCAGTCAACAGGCTGAAGGATAGAAATCGACATTGCACACAGTTGTGCTGCGCTGTTTAGTAAGTAGCTGTAAAATCATATTATGTTATGATGAAAACAAATTACTTTTCATTCAAAATAATTCAGCCTTTGTCACACAGCAGACATATGAAAAGCTTGTTTTAAATTCAACTTTAGTTTTACGGATGCTAATTGTTAGAAAACAAATGCTAATTGTACAAATCATTTTGAGATGGTTCAATCCTAATTATTTCCTGGCTCCTACTGTCTGTCACAAATGGTAATAAATTCAATTGAGTGACATTTTAATGGATTCTTCAAACATGTTGAAGGGTGTTGTAGGGTGAGACTGAAACATTTCCATCACTTTGTTCATTATTTAAACTGTGCTGAAACATAGGAGCAGTTGCAAGCCACTTTGCCATATAGATTATGGCAGCTCTACATTTCCCTCTTTCTGTCCAAAGACAAAGAAAGCTCAACAATCAACATTAAAAATGACCATAATGATAGTACTTGCATTCAGTGCTGCAATTCATTGCATTTAAACATCTTGAATTTCACAATGCAAAGCAATTTACATTTATAAGAGCCAGACACAATGAAGATACTGGGATAGGTAGGAATGAAACTAGAAAAGAACAGAAACATGAAAGTGGGACAGGGAGTAGAAGGATAGAGTAGTCGACTATGTCGGAGCCGGCAGACATGTCAAGGAGAATGAGGAAGCAGAGATCCCCGGTCGCAGATGGAGAGAATGTCATGGTGACCTTGATGAGGAGAATCTCAGTGCTGTGGCGGAAACCTGTACTTGATTCACGCATTCAGTTTGAGGTCCATTGATGGTTGTTACAACACAGACACATGGGGGAGTGTCCTGAAATCCAGAGCTGTATCTGTGCAGCAAAATTCTATTTTTTTATAGCTGGAAAGTAAGAATAATGAAAATGAGTGACTTTGAAATAACAGCTAGCTATGGATCAGACATAATAGGACAAATGTGCCCTTCTGGATGTTGACTTTTCTTTTTTCTCAAAACAGAAACAAGAAAATGCAGTCAGCATACAGTGAAACCTTTTGCAGTTAGTGTATATTATTCTCTTAGTGCTTCGATCCTTCCTTATGCTGAGTGTCAGATGCAAGTGCAATCATGTTTAGAAGGATGGAAAGAGTGAGAGTGCTTAAGTTTATTTGTTTGACAGATAGAAGCACTAACTGCCTCAGAGCAATTTAAGAATGATTTGTGACAGCAGTTGCTTTGCCTCTGTGCCTAAGTGCAAAGCATGAATCCAGAGTAGCATTGTCAGTGTTAATGGGGTCTAAAATGCAACGGTTTCTGATGGGATTCCTTAATAATGACTCCAAGAGGTAAATGCTGACTCCTTCCAGTAAACTGGACATCTGTCAATCTAACCTTTAATAAGGACTTTGGGACATTGTCCCGATGTGAAATGCTCTATAATGTAAATTGTATTATATTGTATTGCAACCCTGTAGGAACTCCCTTCCAGATGTAAGTCGTACCACAGCAGAATTTCTGCCATATTGGTCTGATGCACTTCTGGTTACCAGAAGGAGTCCACATTTGAGACTCAGAAGTGTTATTAAGGAATATCATTCGCAATCATCCCAGTCAATATTTTACATTTTCTTTCTCCTCTGCCTTTCTTTCATTGCTCGAAACCCATGGCCATCCAGTGAAATAATTTATTTGACTATTTTTGTGACTGATATCCTCGCCCCTTCCTTTGCCTCCTTTAAGGCCAATCTCAAGACCCTCCTCTTCAACCGTGCCTTCGGTCACCCTCCTTCCTCCCCTGCCCTCCACCCTCCCCGATCCCGACCCCCAGTTCAGGTCTGAAGCCCAGATTGTCCAGCTCCTTGGGACATCTTCCCGACATGAAAGGCACCATACAAATGCAGATGGAAATTGTAGACATGTTTTACTGAAGTGGATATAACCCTGGCAAAGATCACAGTGGCTGCACTTTATTCACACAGAATCAGATAAAGTTGATTCATGGTTGTTTGTGCGGTCTTGTTAAGCGTAAATTGACTGGTTACAAAATGAAGTCAGACACTTTACAGTAAATCCTGTGTAGCACTTTGAGTTGTCCTCCTTATGTGAAATGCACAATATTAAATGCAAGGATTATATTTAGTATTAGACAATTCAAAACAGCACAAATCTCTTTAACAATTTGTATCTTAAAAGCTCCAAATTACTACCCAGAGTGAAGGGCATTATATAACGCAAGTTGTTGTATCTATACAGTATAAAACAGGTTTAATATTCTACTTTGGAAGCCATAAAATAAGTGAGCTGTCACAAAATATTTGCTTACTGGAATAAAAATAAATTGCTTCATTACTGTGTGTGAGAAGGTTACCTGTCTCTAAATCGATGTTACACTCTTGACATGAATTAATTTCTGTTGTTACCAGTACCTTATTTCATTTCATATTGATAGATACAATTAAATAGAGTGTATTACAAAAAATATTCAGTCTTAATAACTCAAAAATAATTTTTGCTCAGCAACCTAATTTTGTACAAAATTTAATTTGATGCCTTAGAGGCCAAATCTTCAGACTCGAGTCCTTAGTCTATCAATATGTATACAAGCACAGAGTCAGTACAGAGAGCTCTGCGTAGCACTGACACTAATTATTTTGTTGCACCCTTGGTGCTGTACAGAATGATATAAAAAACACTTGCCAACACTATACAATAGAATTATGTGTTATACCTCTCTGTGCCTCCTTATTAGTTATTTTTTCAGTTGCGTTAGAGAGAACTGGGAAGGAATGTATGTTGCGAACAAGGCAAATAGAATATTGGGCTATATTGGTAAAGTTGAGTTTAGATCCCCAGACATCATATTCAGGCTGTACAGTGTTCTGGTCAAACCATGCCTTGAATGCTGCATACAGTTCTGGTCACGGCAACACAAAGGTGCTGCCTAGGCCCTGGTGTGGGTGCAGAAGAGAGCAATGAAGTTGATTCCCCAGTGTTACAACAAGGAAGTATGAGCAAAGATTAGACAAGCTAAGGCTCTTTAGTCTTGAGAGAGGACAACTCATCTATCTTCTTCTATCTTCTATTTTCTATCTTCTATATATACTAATAAAATGACAATGTCTGTCTGCGCTTCAAGAAGGATCTCAATAACCGATTAACATAGAGACATGATCTATACTTCATCAGAAAGGTCTTGGAACTGGAAGTGACATGGACATATTTGTTCTCCAGTATCTCCTATCGTTCATTAGTTATTTTGGGTTTTGCGTTTTTCGCTGCAGTTACACCTGGTGGCCACCGAGTCAAAGTGGTGCGGTGGCATCGTACATCACAGAGCACATACATGTGCACACACACCGCAGTTACACCTGGTGGTCAGAGTACAAGGTAGGCTAGATGAAGAAGGTCCTTCAGCCCTTCTAATCTCAACCCTGCAGAAGACCCATCCTACTTTTCGCCATTACTGCATCAAACTGCTTTTTAAATAAGTCCAGTACCCTAGTACCACCCTTCCTGGTAAAAACCCAGCCATTAT